CTCACTTGGGAGGCCAAGCTCATACCGATAGGCAACAGGTTCGTACAAAGAAGCGTGTGTTCCAGTTGCAACGCATGTTCCATCTGGATTGAGAGGGCAGCCGCCCGGAATCCCCTTTCTGACGGTGCCCCATTTGCGGAGATTGTTCGCTAACTTAGCACCTTGAGAACTTCTTAAGGGGTGCATGAAAACTGTGCTTGCATATCCTTCGTGGTTCTATCAATGGGAAGGGAGCTGCGACAGTGAATCGGGCGCAGTCCCGCCCTGTGGTCTCCCGCTGGGAATTTTGCCCGACCCACCCACTCACCCACTCGGCCTGAAGAACGCATTCGAAATTGAATTGTTCAGGCGACGATGGAAGTCCTCCACGAGCCTTAGGTATTTAAGCTTCAAGGTTCTTCAGAAGATTCGGGCTTACCCTTTCCCTTTTTGGCGGCCACAAACAGCGGACCCGAGTTCGCAAACAGAAAGACGGCGTGGACCAAAAAAAGGGGAGCACAACTCAAAAAAGAAACCCAGGGGTGGAGCAAGCATCGCCCAAGGAGAAGCACCTTTGCCCGACGCAGCAGCATTTGGAAACCAAGGCAAATCCCACATGGGCATTTGTCACAGTAGGAGGGCTCCAAACGGTGGTTTCTTGTTGCATGCATTCCTAACAAGGGGCTACCTCGAACAAACCAACAAGCGAACATACAGAAACAAAAATAGAAGAAAAAACAACAACAACAAACACAATATCACGCGCACACGCGCACACACACACACACACACACGGTAAGACCTTCTCCGGAGCGAGAGGCTCGAGCAACTTGGCTTGCTCATCCTGCACCAAGTGCCGCATGTCCGCAATGGATGCCGCGCTGGCAGCCTAGCCCCGAAACCGAAGCGACAACTGACCTCCATCAAGGAGGATGTTTCCTTTTGTTTACAAAGAAGGCCTGGTTCAAACAGCTCCATCGCCACCACGCACTGAAAAGGACTCGAACCTGTCTGGGCTGGTTTTTGGACACCCTGCAATCAAGTTTGGCATGTTAATTGGCGGTTTCAAAGGCTAAGAGACGAGCCAAGCAAGCAAGGCCAATATCAGAGCCGCAGGCTAGCACTACGGCAGTTGCGTCAGGGGCCTGCGAACATGTTCAGGCCCAAACTACCGTCCAAGGCTTTGTAAGGCCAATCAAATCCTCCATCTCTTTGGGGGCCTTGTGGGCCGATGCCGGGCTTCCAGCCGCACCTGCGCCCGCCCTGGAATTGGCCCTGGAATTGGGCTGTGCCAAGGCCGAAACAAGCAAAACCGAAATCCACTGAGGAGAAAACACATGGGTCGACCACCATGCCCAGAAAAGTCCGCCAGTGATGGCGCAACTCCACTTCCCTTTCTCGCCTGGTACTCCATGGCGGAGGGCCCAAGCTATCCCAGCTGGGCTGCGCTGCAAGTGGCGGCTCTTGGGAGTCTAGTGGCCCTAGGGCAAAGCAGCCTAGCACCGATGCACTGCCCCCACAAGCTGACAAGAAGCCTCCACTTTTCTGGACCTCATACTATCCTGGACTGTGAGGCGAGAAGCGGCGGAAAAAATGATTGGCCCAGGGATGCGTGTCGAAACACAGGACCCCTTTCGAAAGTTGTTGCCCCCCCAGCTTTTGGGACACATGCTTAAAGGGAGCCAACGTACATCTAATCCTAGGACATCGCTTCGTGTTGTAGCTATACCCGTCTTCACTTGGGGCATTCGTCGAGTGAAATTCTGTTGCCAAGAAAACATCGAGCAGCTTGCGGACTAATGGAAGACAACTCTCACCTAGAGGAACTAAGGCTCAGTTCGGCCCCCAAAAAGACTCCAAGGTGTAAGCACGAATTGGCAGAATTCTGAGGTATCTCCAGATGTACCTCGCTAGCACATGGGAATACGTCTGGGCCGCAACTTCTGCGTGGATTCACCGAACAATGTATACATATATATATATATACATATATATACATATGTGTTTTCCCCTACCAAACATGGCCTTCAAAACAGGGGTCAAAGTCCAGCAGCTCAAAGGATCGTTTTCCTGATCGCGGTTGGAATGTTGTGGCTCGCTAATATTTAAAACCCCCAAATTGATTGTAGGCTTCAGCAAGTTTTCAAGGAGGAGATGCATAACCCTAGTCTTCACTACCTTCAAAGGATGTCGTGCAGGTCCTGCCGGGTGAGCCATGAGAAAATGAAAACACACTGGTTCCTTGGCAAGATGGCTTCACTCGAACTTCCATACGTGACCTTTCAGAAAATCAAAGTCACTAGGCAACCCTCTTGCTTGCTGCACAATATCCTTTTTGATAGTTAGGTCCTCAGACGCCGCTTGATTAGTGAGCCTTCGCATTCGGACATAAGATTTACTCAAGTGATGCATTCTTCAAGTCCTGGCTCAAGCTTCTCACACTGGTGGCAAGCCCGCCGCCGTCAGAACCTGGTTTTATTCATAGCATTCATTCTTAGAAGGGGCACGTGCCAAACATGCCTATCTGCAAGCTGCGCTTTATCCGTCTTGTCACGTGACAAATGCCGGCGCTTGTTGCGCAGGCGGTGAGAACTCTGGGCTCAAAGTCTGGCGAACATTGGAACAGGTTCCATGGCCGTCTCTGAGGTTCCATGTTAGTCGGCGTGGTATCCGTGAGGTCCTCATCTCACGTCCTCTTTGCTGAGTGCATCAGCATCCGCGCGTGCCTATGTGGGCAGGCAATGAAACAGCCACAAGGCCTAGGTTCCGAGCACCAAAGCTCAGCGATGGGCTCATGATAAGACAGTGCTTTGTAGGTTAAACACGCGCTGATACCGATCCGGATTGACAAGCCTCATAGATGGACGTTGTGTGCCTTCCGAAGAGACAAGGGTACTCTCTAAAATTGGACACCGAGCCTGTAAGAATCCTGGGTTACATGAATTTTACAGTTTTTTTACCATTGAATGAGGAGCCCCCAGTTTTTAAATCAATTGCGACGCCAGCCGCGTAAACCCCCACACAAAGGCCTGCAGCGTCCAGGGGTGGCCAGAGCCGAGGCTGACTTGGAGGCTGCCCAGCACGGCTTGGAGCTCCTGCCAGGGTTGAAGACTTTTCCATGGCACAACGTTCTCTGGCCTCAGATCCCCCGCTAAAAGTAACTACCCTTCCCCCAACTAACATGGCTCCTGTGCGGAGGTTCCTTTTGAAGGGAGCCTCTGTCAGTTGCCATGTTAGTTGGAGGGGGGGGTAACTTTTAGTTGGCTAAATGGAAACTACCACTAAACACTAAAAGGCTAAAAAGCTGATTTCCAACAAAGCCGTCCCTAACATAGTTTTGTTTTTCTCCGGGGGGGGGTCCACGTCAAGCTGCGGGAGAACATGTTGCTTATTGCTTGCAAGCCACAAAACACGAGGACAATGCACAAAACCTTCAGCAATCATTATCCCAGCCTCTCGCGCAACACACATCCATCTGGGGCCCCAGGCTAGCACGTGAAATTCTGAACAAGGTGCCCCGCGGTGTGGCTTCATTCATCCATCCACCCATCCATCCACCCATCCATCCATCCATCCATCCATCGATCTATCTAAATTGTTGCAAAATCACATCTCAAAGTTTCAACCTGCTGGACCCTGTTCAAGTATCTTCGCCCGGAGTCCCAAAGCGTCAAAGATGAGATTTGGCCCCCCCAAAACGGCGATGAGGCGGGTCCTGCAACGCCTCCCGCGGCGTGTTGGCACAGCCCAGAGCCAGGCAGTGCCGCGTGCGAGCGGTGTCTGGGTGCCTTGCGCGAGCAAATGACGAGAATTGCGGGGGCACTGTTCAGGTGTTGGTGGCATATTTAAGCATTCATACCCTAGGGGTACCCTTTTTCTGTAGTCTATTTTAGTAGGGGAACCCTCCCCAAAAAAAGGGCAAAAGGGCACCTGCAAAACAGTTGCATGAACATGCCCCTGATAATTCACAATGACAAGCACAATCTTCGAAAGGCGCTTGCGACGTCGAGTTGTTTTGGCACGATGAGCTATGCGCCTTTTGAGGGGCAGACAATCCATGTTGCTGGAACATTCTCTCAAAACCTGGCCAGGAACCACCCAAGTCTGTCCAAGCCAATGGGAGGTCACCTACATGAACACAAGTTTACACCGGGGGGGGTTGCGCACTATGGTTATGACAGCTCTCCGGACTGAGAGCCCCAGCTCATAGCCCAGCAACACCTCAGGCAAGCTCGCCCGCTGGCCCATTCAACGGGTACCGTATCTCTGGGAGCTCTGAACAATTCGGGACCGTTTTTGTTGTTCGCATGAGAAACCAACATAAAGCTATCGTCACCTGGGCCACAACCAGAAAACACATTGCCAAGTTGGAATCTGCATGCACCTGCTCTCCCCGAGCATTCATATGCACGCCGGTTGACGGCCAGGAATCTCAAAGGCGTGGGGGGCCACGGAACACCATGGGGGAGGAAACTTTTCGAGGGCGCATACGGGTAGCAAAGCGTGATGAATGGAAATCAGTAATCAGTGGTCCCTTAGTGTCATCATTGTCAACTTGCTTCACCCCCGTTAGCTTGCCCTGCAACCTGATGGAACACCGATTCCCCCTAAAAGGGCTCTTCTGATGGCGTCCGTGCTAGCATCGCTAGCGGGGAACCCGCTGTTAGGACGGAAGGCCCGCCTCTCAGGCCAACTTGCACGCTCAGTTTCAGGGACCTGCCAAATTCGCCCAAACGTTGTGAAGCTCAAGGATTGTCCGACCAAATTTGATGAAATCTACTTCCAGTGCGGTTTCATGTCCATTGGTACGCTTGCAGCTGCGCTTTGATAGGCCCGCCCAAAAGCAAACAACATGCTTCAGCTCTGCCAACTGCCCAAGTGGACACGCCCACAAGTTTCCCAACCGTGTTGTTTCCCAACAACGACGGGTTCCTCCAAAGTTCAAAAGGTCCAACGCTCACCCGAGAGAGGGACCCCCCCAACACCTCCCAGATCCGGCCCGATCGCCGATCCGAGCCTCGCGGAGCTGCAAACTCTGGCGGAAGCAGCGCTGGGCGGAGCCAGGATCACCCAGGCCCCGGTAGACGTTGCCCAAGCTGCGTGAAGGGAAGGCACGTGCCCGGTGGGCAAAAAGTGTTCAAACCCTGGCCTGAAAAGGGAAGCCTGAAGGAGTGTTGACCTTTGGCTTTAGCAATACTGGGTTAAACATGTTTAAGCAAGGGGGTGGCAAAAGTGTTTTTTCTTTAAACCTCAAACGGTTGGCGTCTTAAAAAGTCTCACCTCGCCTCGATCCCTCACAAAAAAACAAAAGAAAGATTGGACAAATGAAGAACCCTTGAAAGCGTCCAAGGAAATATCTTTCGGTGGATTCGGTGGACGCCCTCATTGCAAGGAAAGAAGGAATCCCCTCATTTATCGTGGTTTTGTTGGTGAGAATGCTAGGTTTGCTAGCAATATTGAGAACATTTTCTTCCAGGCCCTCATCCAAGTCCTGGCTTTTCGATGGGCTTTTCGAGTGCGGAATGGCCGGGCCTTTGGAATTAGGCTTGGTTTCCAGACGGGGTCAAAAACATGTTGGGATTCGGATTGCTGGTCTAACCTGCTTGTTTCTTTGGCTTTTCTGTTTGCCTCTGGCTTTCCGCTAGATTGACTTCTCAACAAGTGACAAGCACACAATTTGGGCAAGCCCTCCGCTCCAGCTTCAGTCTTTGCCGTGAATCCCGGTAGTGTTTGTGCCGGTGAGGATTCAGCTTGTTAGTTCGCTCTTTCAAGCACACGGGTTTGTGATGGTTTGTGTCAAAATTTGAAGCCCAAAACGGTCCTTGTGGCTTCCCTTTTAACCAAGCTACAAGGGGCAACTCATTTTGCTAGTGGCACCTGCCCACCCCCACTAGTCACAGTTTGCATGGATTGGTTGCCAAACAGTTCGATGTTGGTAACATTCCGACATGTGTATTTAATGAACCGATCCTACACATATACATGTTGATTATAGCTTGCTGCATCGACGTAATTAGTTTTCGTGTTCTTGCGTTCCTGTGCCCTTTAGTCACGCCCAAAACCCTGAACACTTCCCCATTCAAGTCTTATGGCGCCTACTGGGCTGCCAGTCCGGGGCTCTGGGTTGGCCTCGTCACGGGAATCGTGCAAAGCAGGCTGTAAGTAGGCTGACAAAACACCCGTGGGCCGAACATGCCGGGGGCACAAAGGGAAATGGGGGCACAAAGGAACAAGGATGTGTGTGTGTGTGTCTGTGTGTGTCCCTCTCTGTGTATGTGGGTGTTTGTGTGTGCGTGGTGTCTGTGTGTGTGTGTGATTTCTTGTTTTTAAAGGGGGGGAAAACCAGTCTCTTCCCGCCTGTGAAGCGTGGCGGCGATGTCTTCGCAGCTGCCGCCTCACATGCTCGTGTCTCACGGTGGTTTAGTGGGTTGTTCCTACGCTGCCAAACCCAGGGAAACGAACCTTTTCAAGACTTCACCTAAGTACTGGCCAGCCGACAATTGAACAGAATGCAAAATGGACACAGGATCCCTTCGGGCAACTGGGAAACACATTGTGCCAGCCAAGGAACGAACTGGCGTCTGGTGTGATTTCCTTACACTATTCTCTGCGATGTTCCCAATGTAGCAACATGATGGTCTGTCTCTTTTGCTTTGTGGACCTGCCAATGCTGGCCTTGTCCTTACCACAGACAGGTGAGCAATGAACTTATCTCTTGAAGTAGGCTCGTGATAGCGTCATCATGTACATATGCATCTGCTTGGGGCTTCTCACTTATGCCAAGTACCTGAAATGCCCTCCCATGACTCCTTTGCATGGGTTACCACAAATGCATGCAGCTTCTCGACTGGCACCCTCTGACATCCCCAAGGTCCCGGCCTACACGGTATCGAAAAACACCGGCCCCAACACTCATGTATTCCACAGCCGGGTTTCAAATAGAGTGTCACAAACGTGCAAACAACTCCATCCCTGTCTGGCTTCTGTTTGGGGAATGAACAACTATGCCCTGCTTAACGCCCGGTAGGTACTTGGTTTTCCGAACCAGTAGTGGGAAGCCGCCAGGTACGGGAACCTCACTTGGCCCAACACCAGGGTACACCAATGGTACTTTCTGAGTCTTCATATTCAGCCAGCCCAGATGCTGGGGCTTCCAATGAAAGACCCAGACCCTCCATTGGACACCCCAGAAAAGTTTTGGGGTCTCAAAGCCTGGCTGTTTAAAATCGGGGAACCGTCTGGGAACCTTAAAACGCACAACGAACTCCGACCCAGCTCAATTGGAGCGTGCCATGCGCCACACAACACCGTCGCTTTTCTCGGCCTCGATGCTGCACCTCCTGCCACAGGCGCAGCGCCCTAAGCAAGCAGTCGGCGGCCTCAGAAACCGACCCGCAACCCGAAATTTGCACCAAGAAGAAACTGCACAAACGGAATCGGGAGCAACCTGAAATGCCAAAGGATCACGCGAAAGGAACCCAGAAAGGGACCACCCTGCAGGAAATTGCCGAACGAGCTAAAACAGCAACTGGACAGCTTGGTCTGGGCCCGTCGTTTCCCCCCCCCGCCGCGCCCAAATTTCAAAATAAAGAAACAAGCAACTACCCACGGCCTGGACAGGGATTTTATGAGAATCCCTATCCTTGGCAAGCCCGTTGGCTTGACGCAAAGCCTAGAATCCCTCCGTTCGCCCAAAGAGATGACCAAGTCGGAAGACCAGTCAAGGGCTTTTGGGAGGCTTCGCCACTGACCGTTGAGGTGAATGAAATGGCCGACCATGTGGGTATGAGACCCGAGGGACATCATTTTGGTGGGGATTGACTTCCTTTTAGGGATGATGTGGGAGGAAATGTAGGGAGCCCGGAGCAAAACCATGCTGCAATGGCACGCACTTTTTGTCCATGAGTTTCAGCGCAAGCGCGAACGCTGTACGCAAAAGACCTGAGAACAGCTAGCGGAATACTTTGATTTGGGTGCTCCTAGGGCCACTGCTATTGGATTGCTTGACAAAGGTTTTCGGGGAATGTCCCTCATTTGGAGAAACACCAGCGTCTCGACATGTCTAAGCACAAGGGGGCGTGCCTTGGTCGACTTGAGTCTTGGGGCAGTCGTATCTGGATGAGCCATCCAATTAACATGCCGTTCGTTGAAACGTATATGAACTATGCTTGTCAAGGGCACAGCCACCCAAACTGGCCATCCGAACATTTGGATCCAAAGTTTATCAAGTCGGAGGGACCCTACTTCAAGCATACGCGGATGCCTGGGTGGCTCCCCACGATGATGTAAGCTGGAAGTGTCCCTAGGTTGTTGGCTTGACAAGTTGTGCCAAAAAGGAAGGAGCTGAGGCCTAGCGGGATCGCAATCATCCTGCTCCCAGGCATACCCCAGTCAGACAATCGCAGCTTGACTGCGACTCCACTTGCTCGGCATGCGTGAATCAGTGGCTCGTGTGAAACTCGGCCGGAGCGCTTGGGCTTGAGCCTCAGGATCATCCTTTCATCCTTTCGACCTTGTCGCCTTTGTGAACGGGGCATCTTGAAGAGAGCTGGCACACACGATTGGGGAGGGCTGCAGGTTAACCCAACAGCGGGGCCGAAAAGGCTAACTATGTTTGAGTCGTGGCTGGAAACACGGGCTAACCAAAGTGGCGGGACTTGGGTGTTCAAGCGTGTTCAGCCGCCATGGTTTTGAAGGGAATTACCCTCTCCAACAACGATGGAAGCAGGCAGGAGGGTTTTGAAAGACTACTTTCCTTTTGGGGCAGCCCTTTACCCACTTCTATAACTGTTGGAAAGAGGGTGCCGCGACTTTTCGAAATTTCTGAGCCCCTCTCAGGGCGCAAATCAACATGGACTCCCGCCAAAACACACGTAGCATTGAAACACGATGTTTGTTTCAGGAGTCTGCCTTTTAAAAAGGGAGACCCAAGACTTGTGGTTCAAGCAGATGTTGTCAGATTCGCGTGGACGCTTGGGAGGTTTGCCTCAAGCCCAGGCATCGCGTCTCGGGCCGGTCTCGACTGAGCTGGGTGTGTCTGAACAAATGAACATAAGCAATCCCCTTTTGGTTCCCTTTAGGGAGACAAACAACAGTGGGCTATTTAGCAGCCAGCAAGAGTAGCTGCATTGCGCTAGGCTACCGTGACTTCACGCATCTGGTGGGACCCACTTGCGCTCATCCGGCACAAGGGTGAGACCAAGATGCCATCTGCATCAACGAAACCAATGGCTATTGAGCCCCTTGTTGGTAATGAACAAGAATGTCATGCCCAACAAACAAAGGCATTGGCAAGCGTGAAGGCTAGGTGGCACGGTGTGACCCATGTTCCCTTTGGGAACATCGCTCGACGGCCGGCTTTTTGATTGCCAGCTCAATCGAAATGGACAAACCTCAGCCGACAAATCTCTGCAACCGTGGGCGACCGTGGGATGCCTGAGTTCCACATGTTCCCCGGCGAAGTAAAAACTACAAACACCCCTTGAAATCAACAAGAACATCCTGAAACACGTCTCGACCCAGAAGTATTGCTTTTGTTGAATGACGACGCATAATCCCATGCAAGAGTTTCGTTGCCTTTTGTGTTGGATGCCCTGTGGATGGTTGCGAAATCCATTTCGCACCACCCAAGAAACCGTGGAATTTGATGTTTTCCCTGATGCCAACTGACCTTGGTTTCAACCATTCCAAGTGGTGCGAAGGGATTTCGTCTATCAGCATCCCTATGGACCCCTCCGCTTCCATAGCTTCAGTGGCACCCGGACGACGTGCTCGGTCTCTGACACTCCGAGTTGTTTTGCGAGATCGCTTTTACCGTGAGCTTCAAATGCATGTGCAGGTCCATGGCTCCATTTTTGCCCGTTCAATCCTGGGAGCCTGGGACGGCTGATTTTCTTGTGGGTTTGGGGATTGGTGCGCCCTTGAATTCGGGTGCATTTAGGGTGCGTTTCTGCTTGGGTTGGGTTCGGGCTGGCTTTGCAAAATATACAGGACCGTGCTGAGCAAAGGGTCGGTTGCCAAGCTCTTGCAGATACGTGGCTTGATACTCAGCGTGCCGGTGGCGGTCCTCAGCGTCTCAACCGTCTCGGCCGCCGTGTAAGTCCTCAGCTGTTGTCGCGCAGCGCTGAGTACTGGAATGTCTGAAAACAAATCGATATCCATCCATCCAGCCAGCCAGCCAGCCAGCCAGGCTGGCATCCATCCTTCCATCCATCCATCCATCCATCCATCCATCCATCCATCCGTCCACCCACCCACCAATTTATCCACCCACCCAACATCCCAGGCCGAAAAGCCAAAGGTTCCCTATGAAAGGAAGTTGCGTGGGTGAGGTCCCAAAGTGAAGGTCGCCTCATTGTTTGCTCGTGCCGAAGTTGGGGGGGAAAGGGGCAAGCCTTCTGGAGCTGAAGAACAGCGAAGAACGGATCCAATGCGCCACCAAGCTGCTTGCCGTTCACGGAAATCACTCGGTCATGGACGGACACCATGTGGTGGGGGTTCTCCTCCACAAAGGCCCAGTGCTAAATTTTGAGATCCCTAATCCGATTCAATTTGTCAGTGCGGCAAACAGCGAACAAGGAAAGCCACAAGGGAGGGTAACGGACCTTTTGTTTTCAGGTCCCTTGGGCAGGTGAGGTCTCAAGTGTGATCTGCTTCGTGGAGGCTGGGCTTGCAAGCCTTCAGTGGCTTCCTCCATTTTGTAAGTTGGATTCCTCATTCGACTTAGTCACCGCCCTCCCAAAGAAGGGCACCAGTAGCTGTCCGAAAAGCTGGGATCGCGTCTTGGTTGCACCCAGCGGGTGCCGCTCAGTGCCAGGAATCCAGGAATTCGGATCCTTTTCTGAGTGAAATTCACTGGTGGCCCGGTTTTGTGGGAGTTTCAGTCGGGCCTTGTTCCACTTCTCGATGAGGCAAGGCTCATCCTTGCCAGCCTGGCCCGGGCCCAGGCGCGGAAACAATCGTGCTTCTCTGGTGCGTCCGGTCTGTCGGTCTAAAGTCGGTAAAAACAGAACAGATCGGTCCAACTTTGGGGTCGTGAAGTTGTGCCATCATGCGTGAGTTGCGGCACAAAGTTGAGCAAATGCCAGAGTAACGTCTGAGGGTCCCAAGGCACATCAAAGCATGATGGGTGGACACAATATGGACCAGTTTAGGCACCCATCTGTGTTTTGACTGGCCACATCAAAAGAGCCGTGACCGTTCCCCTCCCAAGCCAGTCGGTTCTTCTTTCATTCGGCAGCTTGCGCTGCCACACGGGCTTGATTCTCGGTGGCCATAGCATTCTGCAGCATGTCTTTGGAAGCGGGGCCCCCAATAGCAGGGCCCGGGCACTGCCGGAAGCTCGGCAGCTTTGCTCCTTCTCAGAAAATATCAGTGTTTCTGAGTTTTCATCCACCCTGCGGCAAGAGCCATAGGTAGCTTGCCACGTGTTATCCTCCAAAAACCCAGGTGGGTATGTCTATGAATGATGACCTACTAGTCGTGAACGTCGTGAACGATCCCCGTCAACCGTTTTCACCTTCTCTCTCTGGGCCTCGGGTCTGAAGCCGGGGTGGGGGGGTATTCATCCGATGTCAACAAGTCCATGGCATGCAACTATCTAAAACATCCGTCTCTTATTGAACATGTATGGTGAGCATACCCCTAATTGGTGCCTTTGTTCAGGCTTTAGGGAATTCTGGAATACCATTCTCATGCTTCAAAGGAACTGCCAACTAAACAGATAGCCGATAGCCAAGCAAGGGCTAAGCCAGGTAATTGGAGAGATAGCAAAGCAAAAACATTGCACAACACTTCCCCTGTTGAAACTTCCGACCCCTGGCTCGTCCGGCTTCAACTGGTAAACCCATCCTATTCAAATGAGGGTGTTCCCGCCAACAGTGATGCTTCCCCACTACAAGGGGACAGAAAGCCCAAATTTATTCGGGGCTGAGAAGCGTCTCGTCGATTCCTCTGCCTCGATGGTGGAGACCCAGGGCTTGGAGGTGGTGCCCTTCCGATAGTTCAGGTTCATGCCCAGGCGCCTGTGGAATCCACCAATCAAATCTTCCATGTCCCGGGCTTTCCTTTTGGAACCACTTCTGATTTGAAAACACACATCGAAAGAATGGTATGTTGGATCCACAAAAAAGAAGAAGGTATTTTGGACCAAGCGTCTGCGAAAAGAGTGGACCCATAAATGTGTCTTTTCAAAGAAGTGGGCAGAAGCTGCTGCCCGTTCCAATTCGTTCAGCTCACCACCAATCCTCAAACCTGACGGTTTGGACGCTTGACTAGGAACCAGCAAGCTCGGGCCAACATCATTGAGATCGTCCCCGGCGCTCCCAAACCAGACCAATCACTGAGCCCTCGAGTCAAGGCGCGCGGTTCGCTGGACCAC